TAGCCAATGGTACGGCCCTTACCTCAGAATAGTTAGTCCTAATGTCCTTATTGTCAGACACATCAACAGTGGTGTCATTACTGGTAATCATATCCCCGTCTTGGTCTACGGTCTCATCCCATGTCTTGGGACCAAATGGCTGTCCGTTGGACTCATTCATCCAGAGGCTCACGTCATCGTGTGATGGCAACAACTGGTCGTTCACCACATTCTCGTCGATCACCAGATCTCCATCAGTGGTGATGTCGTCGTTATCATTGATATCGCCGTTAGTCATGACCACCGATGACCTGTTGTTGTCGTAAATGTGATTATCATTGCTTTCGTCGCAATCGGAAGCCATGGGTTCGTCCGTCGCATCCAAATGAATGCCATTCGTGTCGCCGAAGACTGTGGCGATCGAGGGGTTGGCGTTAGGGCTCACCAAATGGTTGGTGTGGTTAGTGATCGGGTGTTGGCTATGGTTGCAGTGGTTCTTGAGGGCGATGGCCGAGTCGATGGTGTCATAGCCGGTGGACGTGGTCTTGAGCGCCGAGCCATTAGTGGTGCCATTCGTGCCGTTCATCTGCTGATGGCTGCCATCCATCGACACCTCATTCGCCGATTCGTTGCTCATGAGGGCTGTTGTGGTGATAATGGATGTGATAATTGGATTCAATTCATAAAGAAAATGTCAATGAAATGACAAAATAAAGCGACGACTGAGTGGTGGATGCGATTCAGTGATCAACTCATGAGTGACACGAATGGTGTGAATATATTGCACACAAATCGTGACTCAACTGTACTTTTGAGATCAAATCGGTGTTTAAAAGGCCTTTCGATGCAATGGTTTTGTCTGTCATTTAAAACCAATTATTATTGTGTTTTGCAATTCATTTCACACCAAAACTCTCAGATTTCGTCGTTTTATCGTATGTGACAAATGGGGAGAGACTGCGCCCCACCTCACGCCGAACATATTAGGCATATGTCAACACCAATGGTTAGCTTATGCGGGGTGCGACTGGTCTCGGGTTTTAAATAGTACTATTATAGGAATATATTAGAATGAGCCCTGGTTATAACCCCTTAATTTAGAAAATACAATAGGGTCAAATAAAGTGTATCAGGTTCATTGGGCATACGAGGGCGTATTGAGCATGTAAGCGCCCAACTGTCTAACCTCGCAATGAAAAGCAAATGTCAATGAATAACGCCTTTTAATATCTTTCATTGCATTTGATTGCATAACAAGTCTATGACTTTTGCATACCTTTTCCTATGGGATCCCTCATTGGACTGCAGTTTAGTTTTAATCGCAATTCAACGCAGACTTTGAGTGATAAGTCGATTACAAACCAATCGTTTGTCTTATAAATGAAATTGTGGTCCAAAAGTGGTATCAAATAAGCGGCGATTTTATGACCAGTTTATGACTAAAAATTGGATCAAATTTCACAGACATTCACACAATATGACAGAAACGCATTGACGCAAACGTGCTAGCTTATTAATAAAGTATGTTTGCCCTACTTGTCATTTGAGCAGGGTTAAGGTCGTTTGTTTAGATTTTACACTATATTTATATGACCAGGATGCTTCTAACAAATTGTTGTTTGAATTTTCATTTGTTTAAATTACTGGCAAATAATTGAGTTTAATAATAAAGTAGTGTTGATAGCGATAGTTGAATGTATTTTGAGATAACGTTATGCGCTATATTAGTAAATACCGGTTTTAAGCATATTTTAATACAACCTATTTTTGGTTTAAATTACACCTAAAAATTAAACTAATGTTGAAAATAATATAAGTAGTGTATGAACCATAGCCTAGTGATTTTACTTATTTCATTCTAGTTATATTCACAAGTATTACATTTTATAAATTTAACTTGGTCGTTATCAAATAAGTTAATGAATTGAACAGAATCGTAGTATATTTGCTCATATATTACGTGATTAAAAATTATGCCCTTTTGTTTGAATACAGAATATTCTGGTATTTGACACATTTTAGGAATAAAAACTTTATATACCATTTTTACATTATTTAATGAACTTTCAATGGGAAATTTATTGCTAGTATATTTTTATAATTTAATTTCCTAATTGAGGAAAAATGTTGATTTTAAATCTATAAAATAATTTAATCAAGGTTATTTTGGCTGTAGACTCTATGACATGTCTAGTTTTTGAAATCATTGACAGATAATCAACTCTATTTTGGTGCTATGTTTCTGTATAATTGCTTATATGTTATGCAATTGCATACAAATGTTGGGATATTTTTTATTATTTTTACTGAATAACTGATTTTGCATTAATAGACTTCGATTCCTATAAAAGCAATATTATTGTATGATAAACTAAATATTTTATTAAAATGCTTCATAAATAGCTTACTGTATTAATAATATAGAAAATTATGGGAATTGTTTGCATTGATATATTTAATGAGTAAGTATTTTTTCCTAATCAGACAATTTTGAACTTTCATTGAGACTCAAACTCATTGCACATTATATAACAAAGTTTTAGACATACATTGTTAAAAAAAAGTGAGCACAGGATTGAGAGTTAAAAATGTACACTGTAGTACTGTAATCACTAACTAGGTCATCACTACCTTTTAGTAAAAGGCTTTTACTAACTTTATAAACACATTATACTGTATAAGGAAGGGAAGGCACATACCGTATGTGACATACGTCTTAAACTACTTATTAATATGCAATACAGTAATACAGTAATAGTTTTATTAAAAGTCAATTTTAGACCAAATAATAAATATTAGAATTTTTCATAATTCCAACAAAATTCCAAACTTTTTATGTATTTGTTTCACACATTTTACAGTACTATCAAATGACAGACCAGGGTTTAACATAAACCCATCGGTTATTACCACAATTACTCTTACATTCAATGACAGCAAAAGTCCTTCAAAACTAAATACATTTCTAAACATTAGTGTATTTATTAGTGTTTTTGTTGTTTACAATCAAATTCATGTTAATTTCAAATATTTTCATTAATTTTCTATAATTTTTAATACAATACATTTTGTATAAAAATTACTTATGTTTTCTTGTTTTAAAAAGTTAAATTTATATACAATTATATCAAGTCATGAATAATATAGTCAAAAAACAGTTATATAATTATTGTTATTCCCAATCACTCATTAAATTGTTTATTTTAATCGTGTTTATTGTTTTTAGTTTTATACTAATATTGTTGTATTATATAAATTATTTAAGCACTTTATCTCAAACAACAAAAGGTATTGATTTAAATGCAGTGCTAATGACTGTCCCTTACAAAAAAGACTCGCAAATATTGGATCAGAATTTTGATGCATTATATGAGACACCCATTCATATTGATTACAATGACGACAATCTATCTATTGATAAGAAGTTAAGTTCTCTATTGTTTTCATTTTATATTCTTATCCAGTATTTAGTATAATATTGATATTTTCACATTTAGAAAATAATATTAGAATCTGTATTGAAATTGAATACATATAGACTAATGTTTATTTACAATTTGAACACAACTTTAGGATAGAGTGAATAGTTAACAACAAGACATGTCTTTGATGTCTACTAAATTCAATCATAATTTCAGGAAATTGAATTTTATTGCAGTGAATAAACAATACAAGTGTCAAATGAACATGCTAATACAAACAAACTTAGACCAATTAGAAACACACCATGATTTTACTCATACCAGTAACAGTAATGTTTTAAAAACTTAGTTGCTAACCATTCCTGAGCCTAACCTAACATAACCAAGTACATCTGTTGATATTGCATAAGAAAGCTTTTTAATGAGATCCAAAATAAGACAAGAAATGTCAATTCAAAGTCCATTTGATTCAAATCAATATTTTTCGGAAGTGCAGTGTTGGGTACATCTGATTTACAGAATATTATTTTGTATGTTATTTAGTATAAGCTATAAAAAAATATTTGCAAGGTTAAAGGCATTTTAAAACTTTTTTGTCACTTGAGGTCAAAGTGAAAGTTGAACTGAAAGTATTTTAAACTCTTAAATATCGCCAATATTTAAAAGCATTTAAAAAGTAAAAAACAGGTTTGCGATCATAAAATCCTAATCCCAACGAATACTATCATTAGAGATACCATCAGAAGTACAATAAGTTTGGAATAAATTCTCGATTAAAAGTAAAAAACAAGAATTCTTATCATATCTTAAGACTCCATTAGTTCCCATCCGTTGTCTAAGAGTTTTACCCAATAGTGGAAAACTTCACTTCAAATAAAAGTCTAGAAATTATTGATATATCTGTAGCTAATTATCTGAAGTCCTTTGTTTCAAATACACCGATATATAAACGGTTAATGAGCTTATCATTCCTTCAATTATTATAAAAAATAGTTAATTTATGTGAAACTTATATAACTTATTGTCTGAAAACTTTTAGTTTAGTTCTTAGACTTTGCTTACATCAAAATGTATGCATTGAGTTTAGTTCAGTTGTATGTAGTGTATGCCTTGATACAAATCCAGGTATAATTTTCTGTTTATTAAATACTCTATTCTGATAAAACACTTATTTTCTGTTTAATTTCATATAAAAAATTAATAATTATATTAATTAAAATATATTTATCTGAATAAAGGGATTGGACGGCGAAGTGGATGTGTGGCCTCACCCACAGTCTGCCACTTCGAGTGCAAACTATCTGCAAATCGATTCAACAAAATTTGTATTCACAGAGAAAACTGTGGAAAAGTGTGATCTCTTAACACATGCCATAAACCGCACAAAACAATTGGCATTCATTGAGAACTGTGCGAAGGCTGGAGTCCGAGGCTATAAGCCGTTCCACAATTATGTCCGAAACCTTAAACTCGACCACAATTTCAAAGGAGTTTTAAGTGGTATAGAAGTGGAGGTGAAGACATGCGAACAGATCCCACATCTGGAGATGAATGAGAACTACACTCTTGTGATCGACAGCAAGACCGGTACGGCTCACATCAAATCAGATGCCATTTGGGGTGCCATCAGAGGGTTGGAGACATTCTCGCAGTTGATCTCAAATGTAGGACACCATCAGTTTGTTGTCAATGAGACCAATATTATAGACTTTCCCCGATTTGGCTACAGAGGTATGTTAGTGGACACATCCAGACATTACTTGCCATTACATGTGTTGTACGAGAACCTGGATGCCATGGCTTATAACAAACTCAATGTCTTTCACTGGCATATCGTTGACGAGCAATCGTTTCCATATGTGAGCAAAAAGTTCCCGGATCTAAGTCTTAAGGGTGCCTACAATCCGGAAACTCATGTCTACACTCCAGAAGATGTCAAGAATGTCATTGAATACGCCCGACAACGAGGTATTAGGGTTTTGGTTGAATTTGATACCCCGGGTCACACACTCTCGTGGGGAAAGGGACAGAAAGACATACTCACCGAATGCTACACTAATGGCACCAAAAATGGAAAGTATGGACCACTGGATCCGTCCAAAGATAATGTCTACACATTTCTGGAGCAACTGTTTGCCGAAGTGAGCACCACTTTCCCCGATCAGTACTTCCATTTGGGTGGCGATGAAGTGGACTTCTCGTGCTGGGAGTCCAACCCTAACATCAAAAAGTTTATGAATGAGAAAGGCATCAAAACCTACTCTAAACTCGAAGACTATTATATGCAGAAAGTGTTGGATATCGTCAAGAAATTGGACAAAAGTTATATCATTTGGGAGGAGGTCTTCAATAACGGAGTCGCTCTCAAACCGGATACTGTTGTTCACGTGTGGATCGGTTCCTGGGGTACAGACAAAGAGAAGTACTGGCGCCCAGAGTTGCACAATGTGACGGTCAAGGGGTACAGAGCCATACTGTCCTCGTGTTGGTATTTGGATTTAATAAGCTATGGCAGTGACTGGAAGGGGTACTACACGTGTGAACCGCACAGCTTTAATGGCACTGAAGAGCAAAACAAATTAGTCATCGGCGGTGAGGCAGCCCTTTGGTCCGAGTATATCAATGCCGCCAATCTTATCAGCCGAACCTGGTATGCATTCAATCAGATATAGTTTCTGTAGTTTTGTATTTTTAAGTGAGTTATTGATTATTGATTGCCATCCCAGGCCTCGAGCGTCGGCTACTGCTGAGCGACTGTGGAGTCCCAAGAGTTTCAACAGCACTGAAAAGGCGGCCAAAAGATTTCACCGACAAAACTGTCTTATGATTGAGAGGGGGCTGAGAGTACAGCCTAATGAAGGACCCGGTTATTGTCAATGCGATTATGCACTCTGAATGTGATTCACCAGAATTGAGTGACTCTTAATGTATTGATACTTAAATAAACTTACAATTCATAAATTATTTTGCAAACATGCATTTATTCAAATAAAAATTCTGTATTTTTCACGAGTTTGGGTTAAATTGTATGATGTTAACATAATTACAGATAAATTAATTAATTTTATAATTTTTGAACTAAAAATCACAAATTAATATGAAACATAAAATTCTAATTATTTTTAACATAAAATTAAGATTGCTTTTAGAAATATAAAAACATAACTATTAATTAAGTGATTGTGAGTATAGTAACAAAAATGAAGACCACAAACACATAGAGTATGATATGGACCTCATTGACCATTTTGTACAGATAATAGTCATATCCAAAGCCGGCGATGAATATAGCAGTGATTAACACAAAAATAAATGCCACTTTTAATTAAAATAAAATTGTATTAAATATTTGTTCACAATTGAGGTAAATGTTAACGCACTCACCTATTTTCGGATTCATTATTTATCTACTGACAATTAATTTGTTTAGTTCCTACACTAAAAATAGTTTATCAAACTATTTTATACTAGGTGAGTCTTATACAAATGATGGGTAAATTCCGAGATTATAAATTAGATGAGAAATTAAAACATTATATTACAGAATATGAAGTAAAGTGCAAATTGTGTCACTTATAGAATGAGAATCAACTCAAATCTGTGACAAAGTTGTTATGAATGTGTGTTTGAGTTGTTTTAAACATAAAGTTATGCTAAGATTGTATTGATTTTTTGATTGAATAGATTTTGCCAGTTTTAGTATTTCTAGTATGCATTTATAAATATTTAGTTGTACTGTATTTACAATGACAGTCAGTTACCTGGTATTTGTTGATTGAATACAACAGTTATTTTCAAACAAATCAATATAAAGTAGATTATGGAGAATGTGTGACAAAAAGTTTATCTACACTGTACTATATTCTACAGATTACTGTATTTAAGTATTTCAAAAAAGAAACAATATTTATATATGTAATAAATTAAATGTGAAAGTTTAGATTCAATGTAAATTGAAGTAAGAATTTGTTTACGGTAATGTAATATAGTACTGTAAAAATATATTTATTTATATTTTAAAACACAAATATGCTTAAGAATTAAATTACAAATGAGTCCCAATTAATTGATTATTCAAATGATTTATACAAATGTCAAATAAATACACGGTATTTACAATAAATGGGTTCAATTAATAGCCAAACTTAT